CCTTATTGGACAGATTAATATTGGGACTCTTCCAGCTAAACCTGAGTTAACTACTTAAAAGAAAGCCAGGCAAGAAGGCCAGCAACAGAGCAAAGTACACATTACACAGGGAGAGCATTTGCCGGAGATAACTATGAAACACACTCCCACCCCCGCAAAACACTTTATTAGAAGAGAAAAATATAGTCCAGTCCCTTTCTTTGGGGTCTAAGAACTGTTTTCTCTCATTCCTACTCTGCTAGATATCTAAGTTTTTGTCCTGCATCTCTGGGCTCAGCATGCAGTTTCCATGAGCTAGCCAGTTTCTCTACAGTGTTAACTACTGTCATTTGATGCTCAATATTGGAAGTAGCGAGATTGTATACTTGCTTCATCAGACCAAAGGTACAGGTGTCATATAGCCCAGGGACCCTTCTGTACTGATGAACTCCTGGTGCTTTTCAAAGAAGTGCAAGAAGTTTTAGAGGGGGAAGATATTGATTTCTCTGGGCACAGGCAATGTTTCTTCCTTTTTCCTATAACTATTGAAAATCATTGCCTATAGAAGCCATGTCTCTTCTCAGTGTTTAAAGTTTGGGGTTTTTTAATCTAATGCAGTCTTGGACATTCATAAGAAAAGAATCCCACAGGTAAGAAATGTTTGTATTTCTTCCGTACCATTTACAGATTCAGGGACATTGCCATGTCTTGTACATATCCTCATTGTTCCATGGCTATTTTTTTTCCTTTCTATGTCTCTCATCCTCTTCCTCACCTAGCATTTACTATATGTCTTTTTAAAACAATGTTGGCTTTGGATCACCAGTCACCAAGAGTCTATTTATCATATAGCACATGTTCACTCATTTTCTATCTACATGGTTTTTCCTTTTTTTTTTCTCCCCCCATCCGCCCCTCCTTCAGCACAGCACAGAGGTTTTTGGTGAGCAGTCCACAATGATGGCCAACATGATGGCATGTCTTGTTGTTTTTAAAGTTTGTTGCATATGGTGAATGCCTCTTAGCAAAACAGATTGTGAGCTCCCCTGCCAGAAGTGAACTATCTTTCCCCCTTGATGTATGCCTGGAACATAAAACATCACAGATGCAAGTTGTGCTGAACAAGAAAGAGTGCCCTTTATTTCAGTGTTTCAAGATCTGATTCATGCTGGCATTATGGTTCTTTGCTCTTCCTTCGTTTACAAAGGATGAGGGACTCGGCACTTACACCTAGAACCAAGGGAGCCTACTGTGCCAGCAGAAAAAGTCTAAATGTGAGAGGTGGAGATGTCAGCAAGGTTTCATTTTAAGTGACAGCATCTAAGAGATTCCCAAGGCATGGGGAGGATGAAGATACCCATGCATTTGACAGAGCCACAGGCTATTTGATTTCTTTGAGCCTGAGGCCTTATCTCTGAAAATGAAGTCAATACGGAAGATTTTAGGGAAAAAAAACTGCTATTTTTGGAAAACCATTTGCAACATGGCTGCCCTTTCATCTCTTACTTTCTTTTGTTGTTAATGCAGCCACCAAGCTGACAGAACAGATCAAAAGAAACATCAGAGAACAAATTAATCAAGCTGTTGAGCCAACTTGGAGTGCTTACACCTACAGCATAATTATGCTTGAAGCTGGCAAAGGCCTGGAACGCCGGCAGCAATAGCACTGTTTGCCAAAGGAAAATAGTGCTGGGTGCACTATCCGCTCCTAGCCACCTTTAAGGATGACACTTTCTTAACAACTGCTCCTATTTATATGCTGTTTAGCATGTTTTGGTTTTTTTTTTCCTTTTCTTCTTTTAAGTTCTTCTGCATCCTACTATGGACCAGTAAGTATTGATCAAATCACCTTCCTCAAGTCTCAGCCAGTGTTAGAACAGGACAAATTCTTGTTACGTGACTAAATGTGGAAGAACTAGACCAGTTCAGCCACAATGGCTAGAAAATGAAATAAGGAGCAGGGAGTAGCATGACAGAACCTATATTCAAAAAACATAAACAAAAGAGACAAAACCTTCAAATATTTTATTTGTGGAAAGGCTATATTCTACACTGTTCACCAATTCAATACTTACCTGTTAGCTGTGGGAAATTTTAAGGATCTGCAACACTTACTAGACATATATTAAATAAATGCCAGAGATTGCATTGTCTCTGCTGCCAAATAAATTCCCCACCCCAAAGCTGATACGACTGACAATTACAGTTTAAGACCAGGTCATGCTCATTTCAGAGTTATTAAAAGCAAAACCGGCAAAAGGAGAGAAGGAATCTGAAGCTATCTTTTTCCATTTTGCAATTAATAAAGACAGGGCAGAGACTAAAATCCCACAAGTCCCTGCAAAGCCATTTCCCCAAGACTGTCTGTCAGGGTCCTCTTTTGTGCGCTTGCTGGATTGAGCATTAGTGAGGTCGCTGCTGCAGAGCAGAGTCCTGAAGCCCAGGGCTCCAAAGGGTGCTGGGGCCCAGCTGCTGAGATCACAGGACTGCGCTAATCACGCTGCTGTCGCTTGCTCATATGCGTCCACTTCAGTGGAAAACATTCTACTTCCAAACTATCTTTTCTTTGTTTAATTGTAACAGGAAGAAGAGCTGCTCAGAGATGGAGGTTGGCCACAGAGTCATTTCTTTGATGGAGAGTGGAGCTGGCAGGCAGTCCCAAACTTCAGCTGCATCATTTCATCTGCCTGAACTCCCAAACCACTTGTGGCTCAAGTCAGTCCCAGGAAGTGCAAATACCCCTCTGTGTAAGAGGACCCTCTCACATGACCACCTCTGATTTATAGGAAACGATGGGAAAATAAAGGAGCTATTAAGGTCACATGCATTACTGGGAAAACAGTTTATTTCCAAGACCATAAAGAGTCAGAAAAAAACTCCTCCAACACACCACTCCACTGTTACACATTTAGCTTCACAATATCTCTACAAAATTGTGCAGCTTGGCAAACTTGCAGCTTGCCTTTGTTCTGTGCCTAGTCAAGCTTGGCAAATACCTGTTGTAGGATCAGCACAGCTGCTACATCTTCATACATCCCTACTAGAGCTTGGCAGAGAGAGATACGGCTAACAACCTACAAATGCCAGAGTTGGGCTCAGCATGTAAAAAGGAAAAACCAGAGTAAAACTGAACATTTCCAAATGGTAATAAAGATGGACAAGCCAAGTACTACAAAGCACAAAGTGGGAAGTCAGAAAGGCTGGGGATGGGCTTGTAGCAGGAACCCTGCCTGCAAGAAAGGCACAATGACAACAGAAACCGTAGCCAAATTTCTAGCTTATTGGAAGCTACTTCAGAATGGAAGTGTCCTGGTAGCGGAGAGGGAGAAGATTGAAATATTGATGTCTTGAGGAGCAGATGGTTCTTATTTTCTACAGGATTCCATAAATTATAAACAAACATCTTATGCCTTTTCTTTTTTTTCTTTTTTAAATCAGCGGCCTGCTCCTTAGCAGCCAGATGAGGCCAAAAAAAACCCCCCGAACTATTAGCAGCTGTAGCACTCTTCAAATACTTTACAAGCTTGCAGAGAAGTCCCAAAGAATTTAAGTCAGCAGCAAGATGCTCCCCACTCTGACTTCACCTTTATTCTGTTCCAGAGTCTGGCTGGACCACGGAAAGTATTGCCGCCACGTGGCAAAACTTCGCCTTGAGCACTGATCCTCAGCCTACAATCTTACACTAGTACTTCAAAGTTTGGTACTTAACAAGACACATCAAAGCACTGACACATGAGTTCAACACAGTATTCTACTTTCAAGATGACACTGCATGCCTTACCAAGAGACAGAATGGTTCTCCAGGACAAAATATAAAGCATCTTCCCCCTTTACAATGTTGAGGGCTACCATCTAGAAGCAGGGCTTTTACTTCCCACCAGGCTATAAACATCACACCACAATATTCTACACAATGTGAAGGAAGGAGATGAGACAGAAACACCAGATACTTTATCTCTAGGAACGACACAGTAGGAAAGATTTTTGTAATGGGATGGGCTACTGGTGGCTTTCCCCCTGCTCCTCTGATTTCCCAGGGACTGGGAGGTAAAGGGCCCTGTACAGGTTGCCCTGAAAAGTTGTGGATGCCTCATTGCTGGAAGTGTTCAAGGTCAGACTGGACAGAACATTGAGCAACCTGACCTATTGAAAGACAACCCTGCCCATGGCAGCGGGGGTGGACTAGATGATCTTTAAAGGTCCCTTCCAACCCAAACCATTCTGTGATTCTATGATTTCAGTTCCCCACATTGCTGCTGCTATGGTGTCACTACATGTGCTCCTTTTGTGGGTTCTTTAACCAACAGGACAGTATCCCACAGAGACCTCTCTTGTCAGATATGTAATTTCTAGAAGTAGAACAGACAGAGCTGGGACTGGGAAAAACTTTTGTAATCCATTTCAGTGGCTACCTGTGAAAGCCGAAGTCTTTCTGAAAACAGAATCCCTGTTCTCCCTAAAAGGAAGTCAGTCCCTTAAAGCAGAACCTGGTCTGTTTTTGCTGAGAAGTCAAGCACTGAATTTCATATATGCACAGAGATGCCCTAAGCTAAAAATCACTGTACAAAGAAACATTCATTAATATCTACCTCCTATCTTCATCCCAGGCTGCCACAAATATTTGTGCAGCTGTACAGCAAGCTATATCAGGATACCGTTCTGGGTTAAAAATAGCCTTTCTAGTCAAGTTAGTTTTAGCCCTGAAAAAGTCATTCCTTGGTCAGCTGACCACAAGCATCAAATACTCTTGTGCCTGCATAAGGAAGTCTCTTCCAGTGCGAGAGTTAGCTTATGCCATAGAACATATGTAAAACTATGGTCTAATTTTCACAAAGGGAAGGAGAGAATAAATAAATAAAATGAGCAATATCACTCATATTCTTGACCTAGAAGCAGCTTTCTTTCCCCTGAGATATGGGATGAATCACTGCTTTTCCAAATGGCTAGAAGCTACTACTTCCCCTGGCTTGCAACACTGTGTTAAGCAACAGACCAGGGTTCCGATTCCCAAAATGCATTGCAGCACTTTAACCCACACTAATGTCAATAACTTGGAGAATTCAGACCCAATTTATTAGCAGGTTCTAATGTAAAGGTATAAAGACAATATCCCTCTAGAAACCTGGTGGTAAAAGAATAAGGAGATTGGATACAGAATTCCTCTAAGACAACTGTATATTCCTATGAGAATGCTCACAAAAAAAGCCCCATTTATGCATGGATTTGCCGATAGCAAGAATACACAAGCTAGACAGAGCAGGAACAGCTCTGCATGCTTTTAGTCAGCTTTCTCAAAAGGCTAAGCATTTTACAGTTCCCAGTGCAACAAGACAATCAAGTAATCCAAGGCCTGCAACATATAGCTACCTTTGGAAGATCCTAGAGCTTATGGTAGCTCTGGTTGGTATAGACTTAAAAGAAAGTACTGGTGTCCTTTCCAGCTTACCATTGCTGATTTCAGGCAGATCAAATTTAGTGAAGTCCCACCACTGGAGCCGGTAGGTGGTGTTGGCAATGTTGCTGGCCACAGCTGACTGTCCATCCCCAATGACAGCACCTACAGAAAAAGGGGAAATAATTAGCAATTTAACCTCCAGAAGATTATCCAGAAAAGAGCTGGGGAGACAAAACCATATAAAACCTTTCAAAATCCTATGCACAAAACGCTAGGTTCTTAAAGAAACCTTATTTACAGAAATGGTAACACCTCCTAAATAAGCCACAAAACACAGGAAATTAATAGGAAAGAACCTCCCTGCAACACATTTCTGAAAGAAAAGAAAGCCGGTGAGAGATAAGACTTGCGCAGACACACAAGGCAGAAATCCTAATCAATTCATTTGGTGCAAATGCATTCTACTTATTGGTTCTAGTGAAGCTGTATTTTCACTGACCCAAAATTTTCTAATACAGCTATGAATGCAGACCAGAATACGTACTAAGGAAAAGTGTTACCCTGGCAAATCACACACATTTGTGGACATAATTCCTCTTACTACTGTAAACTCCACTCAGAGGATACAGGTCACCTACAATATTTGCCACAGAGTAGTGACTGTAACAAGGTATTAGCAAGGAGGACCTATGAGCCGGCCCTTTGCTGCTCTGGGTGGCCCAACCTACAGCAAGGCAGGGGCTGCCTTGACTCCAGGCAAATGACATGACACTTGCTAACCACCGAAGGATTTGGGCAACAGCCCAAAGCAGAAGGCTAAGCAGAATACTTCAGATATTAGCACAAATAGTATAATTTTCCAGGCAGAAAGGAACTGCCACTGGTAACTCAAGTCGGCATACATTTGAGAAAGCTCAGAGGCCTTAAATGCAATCCCTAGGGAGACAAGTGGAGAGAAGAAACAGTTCTCCCATAATAGTATGAGAGTCAAAAAATCTCATACTATTTGCAGTCTCTAAGGCCTTCATATACATTCAGCTCTTGTACTACACACACATGCTACACCCAGAGAAACTCAAGGTAATAGAATTTGTTAAGGGAGAGCAAGACAATATCATCCCTGAGCACAAATGAGGAAAAGCACAGCCTCCAGAGTCGAGGCAGTCTGGATTTCAGCATTTCCACACTGTCTCCAATGGGAAGCACACAGAAAAGTCAGTGGCTTCACTCTCCTGTAAGGGTTGGCTCAGGACTCTGCAGCCACAGCAGCAACAGTGGAAGAGACATCACTTTGACAACTCTGTGTCCAGTATACAACAGGCCAGCTGCCTGTGCAGAGAGCTAAAAGCTTGCTAACTGCTAGTAAATGAAGGTGGTGTGGAGGAAGATGAGGAGGCTAGGGTGGCTGGATTTTTACTTTTCTTATCAAATCCCAGCAGAACAGTCAGGCTTGTAAAAATAATATGTCCTGAAAACACACACACACACACACTAACAGGGTTTATGTTTTCTCTGCAAAGTAAAGAACAAGGGGGGACAGGGCAAAGTAGAGAAGCAAATTCTAGACCGGTGCCAAGAAGGCTGCTGCTAGTCCTCTTTTCATCGATAAACTGTCTCAAGTCCTGATTTTTGGTTCTGGAGAAAGCTCAGAAATATGCCAAGAGCAAGACTTCCGAGCAGCCAGCTTTACGCTGTGTACTCGACCGTGCCAGGCCTCCAGCAATTGACAAACCTCCACTGTGCATCTGCTCAGTCTCTGTATCTGCCTCTGTCAGACATGCACATATCACTTGGAGAGCACAATTAAGAACACTTCCATTGCTCTTGCATATGCCCAAGGCCTTGTTCTCCATATCCCCCAAAACAAAGGGCTCCTGTGAACAAAAGATATGCACTGGAGAAAGCAGATTCAACGCATTAATGAAATTACATTTTGCAACCAGAAGTGGAAGAAAGACAATTAAATTTTATGTTGCTTCATCTTTAAAAGTCTCCTCATTGCAAGCCTGGGTTTGGTACACAAGGGCAGCTCTTCTGCTGTCTTGCCTCCAGCCACCAGGTGGAGAACAGAAAACTAGTTTCCCTAAGTGGGACGTGCTGCAGGGAAACAGTAACTAACATCACCAACTAGGTAGCAACTGCCTTACAGGCCTGAGTCAGACAAGGAAACACTCTGCAAAGACAGGCAACAGAAGTTGGGCACGTAATTCCAGAATACTGATCTTATTACAGATGAACATTACAAAGTCATCACCCATTTTGCAATGAGAACAACCTTTGAAGGCACAGCAAGTAATATATAAACTGGAGAATAACATACCCTAGGAGAGTAATCATGTGTTCCCTCTGCATCACAAAAGCCTAGCAACATCACTAACTGCTCCACAAACAGCAAGTTCATCTGGCTCATACAACTGTTGCACCTACTGCTACAAGTACCATAAAAAAGCTGTTGGCAAATGTTTTTGAATTTTTTTTTTTTCTTTAGAGATTCTGGTCTTCTCATTTCTTTCCCTGGAACCTTCACATTGGTTACGGTGTTCATTTAAACTTCACATCCACTTCACCTCCAAAGGCAGTCACATCCTACACAGAAAAACTAACAACAGAAAAAAGCAGTACCTCCCCATCTACAGGACAGCCCTGCACAAATTTCAGAGGCAGCAAAAGCCATCAACTACAGATACCTTTAACAAAAAGATTAGGACCCAGGGAAGAAGGTTCATAGAGTGAAAGGTGCATGTTCAGAAGGATTTGGTCCATTTCTCAAAGGCTCCAAACCAGTGTGCCTAACACTAATGGCAATCCATGATCTACATGCTTTTATTAAGTAATTACCTCTACTTATACTAATTATGTAATTGAGAAGTGTAATTATTAAATTATATCTAGCTACATATAACGAAGTGGTATAACATTCATATCACAAGTCCTGCCAGAAGCCTCCCACATACGCTGTCCTACAGTAAAGGTGATTAAAAGCATGCAAACATTTCAGATGTTCAATTTGGGGAGGAAAATACTCCCCAGTATGCAACTATGCTATCCTAACCCTTGTGTTTGCTTTTCCATTGGTTGACAGGGAAGATTTGAGACCATTGATGGAAAACTTCAGAAAGTTAGTCCTCAGAACAGAGCTTTTGTTCACCGTACAGCGTGAGAACTCATTCTCAGCTGGATTTGCCCGGTCAGGGTTTCAGCCTGGGTGAGAGCAGAAGAAGGTGCTGTTGCCTCTTAAGTCCTAGCGTAACCTGGAGGCAAACAACACGCTTCAGCTTCTTAAATGTGGGCAGCAGCAGATCAGCTCTTACAAGCAGCAGTTCTCACCAAGCACTTGACAGTCTGTCCTGATTCCTGGGTCTTCCACTGTTTGATGGGATCACAAGTGACTGCAGTGAGTACCCGAGGGTCTCAGGCTTGTCATCCCCATGAACAGAACGACCTTTTACTGCAGAGATGATGTAAATTTCAAAATGCTGAAATCCAAAGCGAAGGCCAATTGAAATGCAGTGAATGTAGGTTTGATTGGCAGCTTTCCTGCGTCTGTCTATCACTGCGTAATAAACACTGGGTGATGGCAGAAATGAAGACAAATGCTTTCAGCAGCCCCCCTTCTCCCACCACCCCGATCTCCATCCACCCCCACTCAGCACATGACAAGAGAGTTTAAAGAGTGGGGGGGGAAGTCTTAACAAAGACTTAAAAAAAAAAAAAATCCTCAAATCTTTTCTTGTAGGCCACCTACACGTGACAGATATTTATCCGTCAGTCTCAATCCCCTCAGAGGGTCCAACTCATCTTGGCATGTGGAGAAATGAACCTTTGCCAGTCAGCTATTGCTCATTTATGAATCAAGCCATGAAAGCCAATGTCTCAGTTTAGACTGAAAGGGAAAAAAGTGGTGCAAAACCACTTTCCATGGCACTCCAGCACTCCTTCAGTGAAGAGCAGGATAATTCCAGACTACTACTATCAGACTCTCAGAGGAAGAGCTAATACTCTAGAGCTACACAGGCTTTGGGGTACAAGTTTCAAGAACATGGAACATCTACATATGGGAATTTCTTTCCCATGTTTTTAACAGAAACCAGAGCTCAATTTTTTTTCTAGACTAGATCCTTTATTCTTAAGATTTTAGTGTCTGGCAGGTCCCCTCATAGTAAGAGAAAAAAGTATTAAGATGCTTACAGATAAGCTTGAGGAAGCTGGAGAAGTCCCTGAGCTAATTTGTGACTCAATTTGAGACAGTGATTAGGCCCTGGTATAAAAATTCCCCCTAGATTAGTACTTGCATCTTTAAGCATGAGTATCTTTGAAAAGTAATTACCTCTTTATGAGCCCCTTTGTAACTGTAGGTAATGATACTGAGGTTATACTACACTTGTGGAAAGGATCTATCACAGCTGACGAGTTTTACATTTACTAGTTCTAGATTTACTATAATCTAGGCTCCAGGAAGCCCAAAACACAGGACAAATTTATTTGACAAACCAAAGATAAAGCTCTTTGCTGTAAGAATACACCAGATTCGCTCAACCAGTTCTGAAGCAATTTGAATTCAGCTGAAAAGGGACTACTGATCTCTGAAGCCTAGTGGAGATGTAACAGGTTCTTGCACATCTCCGACCCTGAAGTATTTTATGGGGGAGCCTGGTTTCGGGGACTACCTTTGATCACAGTAAATACATTAAATCCTGAATATGAATTTGACACATCCCAGCAAATCTCTGTTCCAGGCTACCACAAAGACACTGCCTTTCAAGTGGCTGAGCTAACTATCTAAAACTGTGCTAATGCTGTAGGAACAGTATGCATAGCAACCTGGTATTTTCAAGGATTCATTTTGCTTGTTTTTCAATGTACCAGCAAGCTGTAAATAGGAAGTGGGCAAAACAATTTTCATGAATGGATGCACAGAACGTTACTAAGGGTAGTTTTGGCATATGCTAAGCACTGAAGGGATCTTAGATTCGATGTTAACTGAGAAAGCCCCAAAGAGGTCTATGCTCTCTTGAAGGCTGAACCCTTCAAAAGGCTGTTATTTTTCCTTTACCCAAGATGTACAAAGTAAGAAGAAATGCAGTTTCCCATTCATGCTCATTCCTATTGCAAAATTTCCTTTTAAAAGGGGCAATGCTTAGCATGCCACGTTCCACAGTCCT